GGGTAGGGGTCGTCCTCGAAAAGGTTGGAGGGAGGGGGTAAAGGAGGTGTTGTGGGCAAGGAGTTTGGACTTCCAGCAAGTGTGCGTGAGTGTATTAGATAGGAGTGAATGGAGACAAATGGTATTTGGGACCTGACGATCTGTTGGAGTGTGAGCAGGGTAATATTTAGCGAAGGGATTCAGGGAAACCGGTTATTTTATATAACTGGACTTGAGTCCTGGAAATGGGAAGTACAATGCCTGCAGTCTAAAAGAGGGGTTTGGGATACTGGCAGTTTGGAGAGATATGTTGTGTGTTTTTATACGTATATACTTCTAAACTGTTGTATTCTGGGCACCTCTGCAAAAACAGTGATTGTGTGAGTGAGGTGAAAGTGTTGAATGATGATGAAAGTATTTTCTTTTTGGAGATTTTCTTTCTCTTTGGGTCACCCTGCCTCAGTGGGAGACTGCCGACTTGTTGAAAAAAAAAAATAAATAAAACCTACTTTCATAAATTCTTTCTCTGTAAGCCATGTGTATCACAAGAGGTGATTAAAATGCTGGGAGCACAGGGCTTGTAACCCCCATCTCCTGGATAAATTACTAAATTTTAAAATAAAAACTTTTGTTTTTCTTTTTGGGTCACCCTGCCTTGGTGGGATACAGCCAGTGTGTTAGAAAAAAAAAACCTACTTTCATACCATAGTTTTATAAATCTGACCTCCCTGTTTTAGTGATTTAGCTAGACTATTAATTCTAGTTCTCATTTATCATTAGAACCTCAATTCAGCTATAATTCAGTGAATTGGTAATATCATCATTGTTTATTGAAAAAGTTTTTTGTTTTTAAATATACCTAATATAGTTCAAGCAAGAACCATTCTCTTAGTGCTAATAACCATTTGTATGTACAATATTTTTTTTTATTTGTGCAATATCAAGTGTAAAATTATGTACCTAGTTTTTATGTTTTCCTTTAATTTTTTACAGTTTTTCTTTTTTTTCTGTTTAAAAATACTATATAACACTGCAAGTTACATTTTCATAATTAGTTTTTCTGTTGACCTATTTCTTCCAATTTTTATTTGTACAGTCAGTGTATTATACTGACCAAACTTACATTAGAGAATCATTACTTTTAGTTTGTTCTTTGTGAACACCAGCATATCATCTTCACTTACTTTATTGTAAACTGTGTACTGTGTTATTGTGATTCATTACAGAGAAGCTTACATTAGTGAATTATGTCTTCCAATTTTTATTTGTAAAAGCAGTATTTTATTCTGACCAATCTTACTTTGGAGAATCATTATTTTTTTGCTTATTATTTGTAAAGCCAGTGTATTGTTTTGACCCAGCTTACCCTGTTGAATCATTCCTTTTAGTTCATTAGTAATACCTCACACTTAGTATTATTTTACTGATTAAGAATTACAGTACTTACAAAACCAGTGTATTAGTTTATCAAGGTTACATGGAAGATTCACTACTCTATTTCAGTATTATACTCCTTTAACTATTACATATTTGTGTTTGTATATTAGGTTGTTGCAATGTATACCTATGATTATAAGCAGTGATCAAGAGTTGAACCTTATCACTTATCTTTACAATAATCAGTTATCTGCAGATTAGAACTGCAAATATTATTCTGCAAATTATGCTAAAACTATTTTCAATGCCAGAAAATATCAGTATTAAACTACAGATCCCTAGGTAAACACTATGATAACATCTCTTAACTAATCCAACCTTTATTATTCTCCCTGACACCTGGCTGAACCACCACCACAGACATCTATAAATTACTGGAGTACACAGACACACACAACTGTAGACCTGATTACTACACAAATGAGATGAAATATATATTCATTCAACCTGCACCAGAGATGAAGTTGGAGAATACATAGTTGATCAATTCACAATGAAGAACTTGTATACCCTTCTCATAATCAGAGCTGTCTACCGGTCACCACACCCCAACGAAGCTAACTTTAGAGAGAAAATCAAGAACCTAATCTTTAACAAAAAAACAAACATCACTTATTACATGCTAGGGACTTCAACATCAACCTCATTTAATCTGAAGACCCTCTAGTAGCAGACTTTCTGAATAATATGTACAATGGCTAACTAATACCCTTGATAATGAAGCCTACAAGAATAACTGAATCTACTGCAACATCACTTGACCATTTTCTTTAACACACTGGTTGTTTCCCACAAAGGCAGGGTGACCCAAAAAGAAAAGAAAAAAAAATACTTTCATCATTCAACACTTTCACCAACACTCATACATAATCACTGTCTTTGCAGAGATACTCAGATATGAGTTTAGAAGTCCCTCCAAACAGCCAATATCCCAAACCCCTCCTATAAAGTACAGGCATTGTACTTCCCATTTCCAGAAGTCAAGTCTGGCTAACCAGTTTCCCTGAATCTTTTCACAAAATATTACCCTGCTCACACTCCAACAGATCGTCAGGTCCCAAAAACCATTTCTCTCCATTCAATCCTATCTAATACGCTCACGCATGCTTGCTGGAAGTCCAAGCCCCTCACCCACAAAACCTCCTTTACCCCCTCCCTCCAACCTTATTGAGGAGAACCCCTACCCCACCTTCTTTCCCCTACATATTTATATGCTCTCCAAGACATTCTACTTTGTTCCATTCTTTCTAAATGACCAAACCACCTCAACAACCCTTCTTAAACCCTCCGACTAATACTTCCAGTAACTCCACACCACCTCCTAATTTCCACACTCCGAATTCTCTGCATAATATTTACACCACACACTGCCCTTAGACGAGATCTCCACTGCCTCCTCGCCACAGCATTTAGAACCCAAGCTTCACACCCATATAAGAGTGTTGGTACCACTATACTTTCGTTCATTCCCTCCTTTGCCTCTGTGTATAACATTTTTTGTCTCCACAGATACCTCAATGCACCACTCACCTTTTTTCATTCATCAATTCTTGACTATATATAGACAAATATTCCAGCTCTTCAATCAATGTTTCATGAAACTAGTAAAATCCCCTTTAGGCTCCATAATGAGGAATCAGTGAATAACTTTGTAGCAGCAATCAGCAACAGTGACTGCTAGAAAGAATTAAACAAATACCAAGACATTAACTCTGGTGTTCATATATTCCTTCACTTAATACAGAACCTCTACTACAGACAATGACCACTGAAAACCAGACAGGTGACAACAAATAGATAAATGGCCCATGAATAACTGATGGCATCCTTTGATCCACTGACAAAGAATATTTATGAGAAGCAGCACAGGTTAGGATTAATACCTAAAAAAAATGAGCCGAGAGATGTAATATTACAATCACAAAGCTCACGAAGAAATCAAAACAAACATATTATGCATATTATTAGAGGAGATATATAAAAGACTTGGAAAACACTTTCTCAGATACTAAGCACTAGTAAGTTCACAAAATCCAAGGAAATAGCTTTAACTTAAACCTAATGAACCTCCCCCAAATCCTGGGAGACAGCAAATAAATTAAATGACTTCTTTTCAACTACTGGAACAAATCTAAGCAGCAAAATCTCCAACTCTCCAACCCAAGTCAGAGATTATCTCACTATAACCATTCAAGCTCACTGTACCTGTCCTTAACTACCTCAGCTGAGGTTACCTGTATAATTATGTCACTACATTTGCAACCACCAGTATTTATTCTTGTTGCTTCTACAGTATAATGTTCACTACACTTGAAATTATTAGTATACACTTGTTGCTGCAGTATAATATTCACCACACCTACAACTATCAGTAATACACTGCTGCTGCTGTTTCTGCAATGTAATGTTCACTACACTTGCAACCACCAGTAATACACCATTGTTGTTGCAGTATAATGTTTACTACTCTTGCAGTCACCAGTATACACTGTTGTTGTTGCTGCAGTATAATGTTCACTATATCTGAAGCCATCAATATACTACTACTGTTGTTGTTGCAGTATAATGTTCAGTATACTTGAAACCATCAGTATACAATGCTATTTCTGCTGCAATATAAAAATTATGATATTTACCAACAGTACACTTTGAGAAATAGAATTTAGTAATTTTTTATCTACAACTATGGAAGAAGGATGACGAATATGAGAGCATGATACAAATGCTCTCAACTCTACAAGAATACATTATGTAGCTTACAAGCACTTACAGAAGGGTACAGACACAGACAGACAGGTACGAGTATAAGTTCTTCACTAGAAATAGGGGCATAAGAAATAACATAGGATAAAATCAAAGACAAAGAGGTTAATCCAATCAAGAGCTTCAGAGTGAGGCACTCTTAGTCACCTACTCTCACCACTACAAAATATTCTAAAGACCTCAATTTAAAACCCAGCACACAATGACTATATTCTGGTTTATTTGAATTCAATAATATGAATTCAAATACTTCATATCTGATAATGAAAAGCCATTTAGTGCAGATTTTATGTAAAATTTCACATAGCTGAGATGTACTGTACTAAAAATAATACTAACAGAAAATTGCATACTAGCAGAAAACTATATATGTATGCCTGCTGGGTATGAGTGGCAAGGGATTGTAACTACACCACTACTGACAGATATCTTCATGTACTCTTAACCAATATGTATTTTATTATATCATCATCATCATTATTATGATGATGATGGGTAAGTGCTTAACCCGTAGGGTTTATACAGAGCTTGGGGAATGGGATACAATCAGGTTTGTTCTAGGGAAAGGGAGGAGAGATCTAATTAGCTGGATCATGAGCCCCCTTCCCTCACCATAATCAAGGCACCTCCCTAGAGGAGACCCACTATGTATGAACGAGCATCTTGCCTCGGTTGATCAACATGTGATTATGTTTACATTAAATATATAACATTTATTTAGAGTATCAATAAACATTTTACTTTTTTCCTTCAAAAAATGTATTATACTGTATAAGATTAAAAAAAAAAAGAATATATGCACCAGCATTTATTTTACTTACCATTTGTTGTGTCAGACAGTTCGCAGTATTTCTCTATGACATACTGTGCTTGTAATGCATCCTGTGGATAAAGATTAACACATATACAAAATGCACAAGGGTAAATAAAGGTTTTGTACCCTTAGTGTTTTTATTAGAGTACAGTACACCAAATGTGGGAAGCAGGAACATTAAACCCCTGTCATTCATAAAGGTTACTTTCACTGAATACCAAAACAGAAAAACAGACAAAAGACAGATATTAAACCTATGTCAAACATGGAGTTAGAACCTGGTGTGTTGTAGAAGAACCATCCTTGAGAAATGATTTTGGGTAAAGAAATATTTAACTGGAATAGTTTTCAGGATCTTCTGCTTTGAAATTAAAGGTTCAGAGTCAAAACAATCTATGGAGAAAGAGTGAGGGGATGAGTTAAAAAACAAGAAGAGGGGGGAGAAAAAAAAAAGTGTGTGTGTGTGTGAGAGAGAAAGAGTAGTGTAGTGTGTGAAGATAGAGGAGACATGAAGGATACTGCACCTCAGCCACTGAGGTGCAGTATCCTATGTCTTATGTTGTATCTATTTGCCTTACCAACAATACTCCACCACCTGACCTTTCCCACCACCCAACAACACAAAATAAATAAATAAATAAATCTACAGTACAGGTCCTCCACTATCTTTAAAAAAAAAAAAAAACCTCTTTATACAAGCAGGGAGGGAGGCAGTGAGGGATTGCAGGATAGGGAAGGAAAAAGGCAGTGAGGGATGGTAGGGTAGGGAGGGAGGAAGACGGTGAGGGATGGCAGGGTAGGGAGGGAGGGAGGCAGTGAAGGATGGAAAAAAAATGAAAACTTCCAGTAGTTGTAGCACTTGACTACCTCCTCTTGTAAAGCAATCCACTGATCTGTAAAAGAAAACACCCCAGCATCTTTTCTTTATTTTAGTTGATAGCTATGATCTCTTGTGGTGCCAGCTGGAGTTCTTTGTTATTTCTTTCATATATTTTCATAATCTTGAATATGGTTTATCACATCTCTTTTTCTTCAGCTCTTTCAGTCTTTATAACTCTCATGTTTTATCTCTGGGAGCAATTTTGTGGCTTGACTTTAAACCTTTTCTAGATTGTTAGCATGATTTTTTTTTTTTTAGATATTAGTCTAAAGTCTTCAGGGGGGAAGTGGAGAAGAATCCTTCCTCCGTAAGCCGTGTGTGTTGTAAAAGGCAACTAAGATGCCAGGAGCAATGGACTAATAACCCTGTTTCCTATATAAATTATTTAATATATTAAGAAAAACCTTATAGGTAGTAGGTTGGTAGACAGCAACCACCCAGGGAGGTACTACCGTCCTGCCAAGTGAGTGTAAAACGAAAGCCTGTAATTGTTTTACATGATGGTAGAATTGCTGGTGTCCATTTTTCTGTCTCATAAACATGCAAGGTTTCAGGTACGTCTTGCTACTTCTACTTACACTTAGGTCACACTACACATACATGTACAAGCATATATATACACACCCCTCTGGGTTTTCTTCTATTTTCTTACTAGTTCTTGTTCTTGTTTATTTCCTCTGACCTCCATGGGGAAGTGGAACAGAATTCTTCCTCCATAAGCCATGCGTGTTGTAAGAGGCGACTGAAATGCCAGGAGCAAGGGTCTAGTAACCCCTTCTCCTGTATATATTACTAAATGTAAAAGGAGAAACTTTCGTTTTTCCTTTTGGGCCACCCCGCCTTGGTGGGATATGGCCGGTGTGTTGAAAGAAAGAAAGAAAAACTTCTGTTTCCTTTTTGCGTAACCCTGCCTTGGTGGAAAATGGCTGCTGTGTTTAAAAAAAATTGTCTAAAGTGTGTTGTGAAAAGTTTTTTCAACATTTCCCTGTCCATATATCTAAAAGCTACTCTGAAGCTGACCAGTGTCACACAGGAGTTCTCAATGTTTGTTTGTGATTTTCTGGTAACAAGGTTACAAGGTTTTATCAAGATGACATATTTGTCCCTTTCTTTGGCTGATATATGTAGTGTATTGTTGCACAGTTTTTGTTTTGCATGTGGCCTGTTACCACCTTCACCCATTTCATTACAGCATATTCTTTCTTTTTTTCCAACACATTGGCCACCTCACTGAGGCAGGGTGACCCAAAAAAGAAAGAAACACTTTCACCATCATTCACACATAATCACTATCTTTGCAGAGGTCCCCAGATATAACAGTTTAAATGTCACTCCAAACAGCCAATACAACAAATTCATTCACATTAAATTCTATCATGTATGTCTTTACTTCACTTACTCAATTTTTCTAGGTCTTCCTGTAAGGATACATAGCCATTTCTTTTTGCTAATTTTGTACAGAATTGTTACACCATCTGCAAATATGTTCATTTTTTTTTTCAACATGCTGGCCACCTCCCAGAGGCAAGGTGACCCACCCTTCCCCCCAAAAAATAATAATAAAAAAAAAAACTTTCCCCATGATTCACACTATAGCTGTCTTTGCAGAGGTGCACAGATACAACAGTTTAGACGTCATTCTAAACAACAACATATCCCAAACCCCCTACTTTAAAAGTTCAGGCATTGTACTTCCCACCTCCAGGACTCAAGTCCAGCTAACCGGTTTCCCTGAATCCCTTCACAAAATATTACCCTGATCACACACTAACAGTTTGTAAAGTTTTTTTTTTATTTTTATTTCTAGTAAGCCATATAGAAGGAGGGGTTACTAGCCCATCACTCCCGGCATTTTAGTTGACTTTTACAACACGCATGGCTTACGGAGTTAAGATTCTTATTGCACTTCCCCATGGATATGAAAGGAAATAAAAAGAACATGAACTATTAAGAAAAATCAAAGAAAACTCAAGTGAATGTGTATACATAAACGTGTACATGCATGTGTAGTGTGACATAAGTTTAAGTAAAAATAGCAAGATACAGCTGTTATTTTGTGGTTTATGAGACAGAATAAAAGACACCAGCATTCCTAACATTATGTAAAACAAATACAGGTTTCAGTCATACATTCATTTGGCAGGACAGTCATACCTCCTTGGGCGGATGCTGTCTACCAACCTACTACAGTGGTCCCTCGATTATCGACGGTAATCCGTTCCTGGAAGCCGGTCGATTATCGAAATGGTCGATTTACGAATCAATTTTCCCCATAAGAAATAATGTAAATTCAATTAATCCGTTCCTGACACCCAGAAGTATTAACCCTTTGACTGTTTCAGGCCCCTCTCTGAAACTGTCATTCTATGTCGCTCAATTTTTGAAAAAAAAAAAAAATTATTTTTTCTTATGAAATGATAGAGAATCTTTTCCCGATGGTAATGACACCAAAAGTTCGAAATTTGGTCGAAAACTCGTGGAATTATGCTCCCGCGAAGTTAGCGGTCTCGGCGACATATGCGTATCGGCGGTTTCGCCGACTTTGAGCCCAATTTTCAGCCAATTCCATTGTTCCAGTTGACAAAACTCATAGCTATTTCTTTAGAACTCCATTTTATCTATCAGCTGAGTACAAGAAACCTCCCATTTACTAATTTTGACTACCCAATATGGTGGTCAGAAATTGGCAATTTGGCCAATTTCATGCAAAATAAAAAGATGCCAATTTCAAAATAGGGTCCAGAATAAACAAGGTAGACATTCGTGGCACTAAAATAACATATGCTCTGTTCATTAGTCACATCTCTAGGCCCCTCTTATATTATTATTGCTTTCTATTTTGATTTTTTATTCATACAAAAAAATACAAAATTTACTGTTATGCAGACTACTGCATTATTGTGAAAATGGTATAAATATTAGTGCACTAGTGAAAGAATATTAGACTCCCCAGTTGACGTGTATTGGACGTGTGGTGTGATTTATGTACTCTTGAACATTGGTAAAAAACGAACATTTCCGCTACTTTGAGTCAGTTTCAAGGTCGTTTTCATCGTAAAAGTAATGAAAATCATCTCTATTTCTGTAATATGTTTTCCATTTTATCACCTAAGACCATGAAAACGCGAATACAACGATAAATACTATACGAAAATACACCTCAAAGTCGGCGTTTTATTCCAAAAAAACGATCAGAGTTTTTTTTTTCTCATTACGCAATGTGTGCTGCAGGATTTTTTTTATGTGGTGCACACTGACCACACAGACCCATTCTCTCACATGTGGGCCTACCAGCTTTCTCCCACTTGATTTGAAGCCGCTAGAATTATTGAGTATATATACGTCAGAAACATTGGCTCGTAAGACGTATTTATACGTCGAAAACAGTCAAAGGGTTAAAACAAAAAAATTTTTTACATGAAATATTCATGTAGTACATAAACAATACAATGGGAAATGATGAATGAAACATTAACAGCATAACACTTACCTTTATTGGAGATTCTTCTTAGTGTATGGGAGACTGGAGGAGGAGGAGAGAGTGGATTGTTTATAGTTTGGAAGGGGAATCCCCTTCCAGCAACACCTCAGGTACCATTTGCTTTTCTGGGGTTGCTTCTTTTCTCTGTTTCTTAATGCCACTAGGACCAGCTTGAGAGTCACTGGAGTCCTGTCTCGCAAAATAACTGTGCAGAGAGCTCTGTTTCTGGCGTCTCTTTAAAACTTCCCTAAAATGGGCCAAGACTCTGTCACTGTACAAGTTGCCGATATGGCTTGCAACATCCTTCTCTGGGTGATGTTTCTCCATAAATCTTTCCATCTTACCCCACATAGTAAAAATCTCCTTAATTTCTGAAGAAGGCACCTTCTTCCATCTCTCTTCCTCCTCCTCTGCAGCAAGATTCTGAGCTGCGATCTGTTGCTCTTCCTGCTGAAGCTCTTGCAGCTCCTCAGTGGTTAGCTCTTCGTTGTGGTCCTCCACCACCTCTTCCATATCCTCCAAACTCACATCCAACCCCATGGAACTCCCCAGTGCCACAATAGAGTTCAAAACTGACATAGGCTCATCAGGGTCAGCCCCAAACCCTTCCAAATCCCTCTTGTCGACACACTCTGGCCACAATTTTCTCCAAGCAGAGTTCAAAGTCCTGGTAGACACTCCCTCCCAAGCCTTACCTATAAGGCTTA